GATATATGCCTGAGGATTTGTAGCCATGACTCAATGTCCACACAAGTCTGGACATTTAACAAGAAACTAGGAGGAGGTGGCTTTTCTTCCAGTTGCATAACCAAGCAAATGAATAACTAAAATCTTATAGTGATTGTAAATCAATGAGTTCCATTAAAATTGATAGGTCATCCAAACGTCCAAAAGTTTTGTATATTTCAAGGCAGCAAGTTTTGTACAGCGGAAATGTTTACCTTGACTCTAAATGCACATGACGGCGCAGTTAGAGGTGACTTCCAGAAGCGATCCGTGTTGGTGCTGCTTTTGCAGCTGCTTTCTTGTTTAGAGGTTAAAAATATCAAAATTCTCAGGAAGCATTTTTTTTTTCCACCAAAGGCCTTCTGCTTACATTTTTGTGGTTCTCTTGTAGTTTTTTGTTTTGTTTTGTTTTGATAAGTGGGGTGGGGGGGAAACACTTTGGTGAAATCTCTGCTGCTTGTGAAATGACTGTGTTCCTTTTTAATGTGGCCTTATATGGATTTAAGAATGTGTTAAATAAAATGTGGCCAAAAGTGTCGGCTACCTCGGCGCATGGAATGAGGAAAAATAGCTTGTAAAGCACACTGAAGCCAGCCGGAGTGTTCTCACAAACCACCCAGGAGGCACGTTACAGCCACCCCTAAAAAAAAAAAAACACATCAACACCGAAGCGGGTAGATGGGATGAGAAGATTACATAAAAAAAAACAAAAAAGTAACACGGCTTCAATATGAACCAAGTTTTTATTCTTTTCATTATTTACAAATTGAAATCATAAATGGCTTTTATGAACAAGGGGAAGGAAAGAGGTAGTATGGTGACATCACCAGATGTCAAGTTTTGATGAATTACTTTGGTAAAGTGTTGCTTCGGATCAGCAGATATGGACCGCCTTTGTAAACACACAATTTTGCTGAAACTACAACAGTTTTGTTCATCTAAAACAGGCCATGGTCGCCGTTGGCTTTTTTTCGAATGTTTCCACACCTGAAACATGGCAGTAACTTTTATCAGCTGTTTTTGGCACATGCTGACTCTATAAGGCTTTGCTGGATCCTGTTGTTTCCCAGACTAACCCGTGGGAAACCTCTGAAAAGTTGAACTGGTGTCCAACATGTCATAGCAGCCTCTTGAATGCTTCGTCTCACCCAGAAGTACAATTTATACTGAGAATAAACACTGCTAAACTCACTTTATTAGTTGGGTTGCTCGTGAAGGCGATTTCTTGCAATGGATTTTATTAGAGCATCGGAGTAGAAGAGGGTGAATACATATCTGTGCCGCATTTTTAAGTTGTGAGACATCTAAACTGTGTCTTTTATTTCGTAATTTTATTCTGTTTTGTCAAAAATCAATCAAAATTTCCAGCAGAATGCTCTAAAACTTGAGGTTGCAATATGACAAAATGTGGCAAAAGTGCAAATGAATACGACTCTAAAGTCTTGAAACACATTCACTTTGTGTTGAATCACCAGTTTATCGTCTTGAGAATTTCCCTTTGGGATTATTAAAAGTATATTCATTCATTCATTGACAAGTTTATCTACATAGACCTTAAAGTGAGATGTGGTGAAAGGATTATACTCTGAACTCCATATTAATTTGAATAAACTCTTTGTAGCATCTACATGTTTATCCCCCAATTGGTTATCAAAGTTATGCAGATATTTCACGTAGTCATTATGGGAATATTATTATTAATAATATTCTCATAATAAATTATGAGAGTTGTGAAGGACACCTTGATTTAAAGAGAGCTTTTCTTACTTTGAAAATGTACAGTTGTCCCTTTGCTAGGAAGCCCGCCTTTAATATCCGTCAGTCGTTACAGATTATAAACATACAACACTGTTTCTGAAATTACAACATTGCATAACATCATTAAAATTGGATATTTTAAACTTCTAGAAAGTATATATTTCTATGCAGTCACCACCTGGTTGAGCTTGCTCCCTTTTGCATGAGTCACTGCATCAATGCAGTGTGGCATTGAGTAGCTGTAAAGGAAGCACAAATTGTTTTGATAGCCGCCTTCAGATTTTCTGCATTGTTGGGTCTGGTGTCTCTCATCCTTCCTCTTAATAGGTCACAGATTTTCTATAGGGGGCAGGGAAGTTTCCTGGCCAATCAAGAGCAGGAACACAATGGCCATTTAAAAAGATTTTGGTATATTAGGCAGTTTGTGCAGGTGCCAAGTCCAAGCTAGAAAAGAAAATCAGCATCTCCATACAGCTTGTCTGTAGAGGAAAGCGTGGAGTGCTTTAAAATATGACGAAAGATTGCCACGGTGACTGTGGACCCCAAAACATTAATGGACCTGCGACAAGTTACCAACGACTGTGGAAACATCAGAATGAAGTTCAATCGATGTAGATTCTGTGCCTCCCCAATCTTCCTCCAGACCAGGGGTCCCCAAGCTTTTTCCTGTGAGGGCCACATAACTTTTCCCTTCTCTGCTGGGGGGCTGGAGTCAGTTTGTAACAGAAAAAGTGTGACGATTGCTGGAGTGCCTAAATGTAAAAATGTATTGTTTTCCAGAAAGCACAATCAATGGCCCTCTCTGGGTTCTTCACAGGAGAAATCCAGGAAGGATTATAGTCAATATTTTCTGAACTATGAGTCGCACCGGACTATAAGCCACAACCCCAAAGTTTTTTGTTTTTGTTTTTTTTTAACCAGTAAACATATAAGCCTCAGATATCTCTGCCGCTCCAGGTTTTCCACAACGATGCAGCAGCAGCAGAGGGAGGCGGACACCCAAAATTGGAGTAATAACAGGTCAATTTAATATCATATTTATTAGGGTTGAAAAAGAAAAAGTTGACAAGTTTAGATTTAGCTGAACTGATTACAGTAGTTTCAGAACGGTAACTGTAATAGTAAAAGTGCTGATCCTTCGTTTGCTACTAGCATGTGCTAAATGAAAATAGGCGCTTTCTTCTTCTTCTTCTTCTTCTTTAGATTTCAACAGCAGCTTGCATCCATTATTGTTGCACTACTGTCATCTACTGGATCCTAATATCCAGGCGTGGAGCTATAGGGGAGGCTGGGGGGGCTGCTGCCCCCCAAACCGGCCGGATGGGGCCCGGGCCTGGAGGTGCCAGGGAGGGAGGAATGGTTTCAAGTCATCAAAATATGTGATTATAGACAGAGAAAGTGTGCCCTCGCCTGTTGAGAAGGGTGTATTTAATGTTAAACACCCCCCACACCCCCTTTCAACAGTTTCAGTCTCACTCCACATAAGGGGCCCGGTGATTGGTTAGGTGCCCGGTAATTGGCCCCGCCCCCCGGCCCGACGCTGACTTGTTCCGCTAGTGCTAATAACTATACCTCAAATTGTCATAATGATCCCAGTATTATTTAAAAAAAAAAAAAAAAAATCTTCTTTTTCCCCTCAATGCTTTTTAACTGATCAATAACATTCTCAAATTTCAATTCCCTGTTAAAACCTAATTCTGTTTTAATGGGCGCTTTCTTCTTTTATTTCCAATTTTGACTTCCAAAAATTAACTTCCTGCTAAAGAGCCCCCTGGTGGTTGAAGAAAAATCCACATATAAGCGGCTTATAGTCCGGAAAATATGGTAAATGAAAAAAAGTCTGAATACTCTCTGGTATTGTTCAGGGGGCTGGACCAAATGTGGACCGTAGTTTGGGGACCACTGCTCTAGACTCTTGGATCACAATTTCCAAATAAGATGCAAACTTTCATCTGAAAAAATTAAGAATGGAGGGTTTTTTTTGTATAAAAACCAGTGAGCATCAACATCACAGGCAGTTAAAATGCCTGTGATGTTGGTTCAGGCTTTACTTGCCACAGGGAACAAAACATTAGCAGCCAATGTGTAGACTCTTGATGCTCTGACCCTAGACCCCGTCCACTCTTCACGAAACTCCCCCAAATTCTTTAATGGATTTTGCTAGGTAACATTCCCAAGATAATTTATGCCTGTTGTTCCATCTTTTGCTACGACACATTTTCCATCAACTTTGGATGCTTGGATTTGGCATTCTGGACGACTTCTGTAGCAATGATATTTGGTGACTTGCCCTCCTTGTGAAAGGGGTCTGACTGTCTTCTGGACATCTGTCCAGTTAGCTTGTGTAGCCGACTGACCCAGAGTGAAACCTTTTTAGGAATTCAGGAATCCTTTGCAGGTGTTGTGAGTCAATTAGCTGGTAAGAGTGTAGCTTACATTTTCTGTAAGTATAAAAATGGCAAGAAATAAATAAAAGCTTTAAAATGAGTTCCACTTTCCTACAACAGGAACAAATGACCAATTTTCCATGATAAATACAGAGGGTACATTAACTTGTTAGCTTGGTTTTTATTTTTCAACAAAAGCTTGTCGGTAATGTTTGCGCATCGTTTTGAGTAAAGCAAGATGTTGGGTTTGGGATACAAAGTTTAAGACATGAAGCAAACATTAATACAGCAGAGAGCTAAATGTGTGTGAAGTTCTGTTTATCTTGAGGATGAACAAACCAGAATAGTACATTCTGCAAGCCCTTGATTTGAATATCAGTATTTTTTTCAGACTCATTTGTGTTTCTTGCCATTTTTTTTTTTTTTAAATTGGACCTTCTTACTCGCGATATGAAATGCAGCTTCGTAAAGGGGTATGGACGGCTTAAAAAATGTCAGTGAAAGGTAGCTTTCAACAATTAACCGAATTGAATTAAGATTTGTGGCTGCAATTTTCTTTTTGTGTATCTTTTTATGAGCGTAACCCCCAACGACTATATAAAAACCAGACTTGGGTCGCTTTTAATCACATAAGCGTTGCTCTAAATTACGACTGCTTAAAAAAATAATAATAAATTGGGCCATTGCATTGGGTTTCTCGAAGAAAGCAGTAGACTGATACTAAAAACCTGCGATGGGACATGAATCCGGGGAGGGGACATATTGACTGAGAAGTGAGGCAGAGGCTCCTACAACACGGGAAGGGGGAGGAAATAAGAATGGAGGGCGGAGGGTGAACTGATCCTCGGAGTGTGTGCGTGCAGACGCGTGTGTGTGTGAGAGAAGGAGAGGAAGGAACAGACGAAAGAGACCTGCGCACACACAGACACTCGCTCTCTCTCTCACACACACACACACACACACACACACGCGCGCGCACACACGCACACACACACTCTCGCTCTCCTCCTCTCTCTTTTCGCGGAGCCGGGAGAACCGGGAAGGGAAGAATGAGGAAGAGGTCCGCTGCGCCGCGCGCCTCCTCTCAGCTAATGCGGGTTTGCTGATGAAGCGCCGCTCTGGTCATCCGATCATACAGGTCACTCAGGTCGCGCTGCATGGAAACGAGGAGTAGGCAAGAAGAGCAAAAGATAAGAGAAACAAATAAGGGGTGGTAAAAAAAAGAAAAGAAGAAACAACCCAGTGTGCATGGGAATTCGGACTACTCTTCCCTCCCTTTGTGCGTCTCGGTGGTTGGATACGCTGTCTTGACTGGCGTATAAGAGCTCCCTGCGTCTCCATTACCGTTCCCCACTACGGGCTTTACCTCCGCCACCACTCCTCCTCCACCGCCTCCTGGTTTTACTCCTTCTACTTGCTCGCATCGCAAGAAGAGCCGTTTTACTACTAAACTACGAAGCGTCAACTCCGGATTGAGAAGGTAGGACACGGACTCCTGGATGCTTATTTATTTTTTATGTTGCATTTTTTTTCTTTTAAATTGATTATCATTGCGGGGGTCCAGGTCTGCTCCATGGTGTCGTGTTGGTGTGTGCAAGTTTTTTTTTTCTTTTTTTTTTTTTCTTTTGGTCGGGGGAAGGGGTGGAGTAAACTGGATGTAAGAAGGGGTGTGTGGGGTGTGTGTGTGTGTGGGGGGGGGGAACAGTCTCGGAGACCCGAAGAGAGACTTGGAAGCACCAGGCGTCAGATGGCTCTGGATGGGGATGCGTTCCCTCACTCCATCCTCACTCGCCAAGCTGCGCTTTTCATCTTTGATTTGAAAGCAATACAGAAAAAGAAAATAAAAGCCTTTCTGGTTTGTAGACAGCTATTAAGGAGTAAGCTTTTTATTTAATTAATTAATTAATTAATTTGTTTTTTTAAATTTCCACCCTGTTATCCCATTCATTCTTCTAAACCCCCCACTTTGAGCCCATCCTCCTGCCTCACCTATTTATAGAGAGATGGTTGAGGATTCAGATCACGTTCGGATCGCCGCGCTCTCCTCGTCCCCTTTTATTGGCATCCAGTGTGGAAGTTTGTGTGACAAACATGCGCAGGGCCCGTTAAACCAGTGGAAAGGACGGATGTGCACCGGGAGGCACTTTTGCGCAATCCTGCAGGGCCTTGCATCCTTTGCGCCAAACGGCACCGCCGTATTCAGTTGGGGCTGTTGTTGGTGTGCCAGTGCGCTTTAGTCCCGCATTAGGTGTGCGTATATGTGTGCGTGCGTGTGTGTGTGTGTGTGTGTGTACAGCGGAAGTATGAATGGGCTCATTTGAATCAGCTGGATTTGGAGATGAATAATAATAAAAATGTGATTTTTAGGTAATTGGTTTTAGAGAGTGAAGTCTGGGTTGTACAGAATTAAAGTCAAACCAGCTTTTATTGCCCAGATATGACTCTACATACAGGCTTCTTTTGTTCAATCAAGGTTTTTTTGTTTTTTTTCTTTTTCCCCCAGCTGACTTCATTTTTTTATGGGTATGACACAGAGCAACTGTGGTACATCAGCCATGAAGTATGAAATATTTATTTATGACGGCGAGCAGGAAGGAATGAAATGGTTCCAGGGGTCTGAATCTGCTTCATTTAGCCGTTTTTACAGCAGGGATTCTGATGGAACCGAAGGTCTCATGATGCAACAGCCATGCTTCGTTTCAGGCAGTGAGATGGGATCTGATAAGTTCCCAAATGATCAAAAGCTGCTTTTATTTCTAGATGTGTGTTGGGAGTTTTGGGTGACTCGACATCAAGCAACCCTCCTCTCATTTCTCTCTCTCTCTCTCTTTTATTTTTTTAACTAGCAGAGGTTGTAATCACAACTTTTTCCAGGCTTGTAGCCACTGCAGAGCAACAACTGACTGGTCAAAGGAGACGGTGGCAAATGAATGTCTAGGCAGAGATTTATTGTGGTTGGAAGACAATGACGCGACATGTTCTGTAGGCTATGAAGAAAATTAGAAACCGTAGGAGCCGTGCTTCAGTTTGCATTAGACTATCTTGTGCACCATACCAAAAGGTCCTTATAAAAACCATAGCTCGCAGCAAATGGAATGATCTGATTTACAGGAAGCTGACATAGGGCCGACGCTGGAATTTTTATTTATTCAAACTTTTTGCTGGCTGCTCTTAACCAAATTTTTTTTTTTTTTTTTTTTTTAAGAAAATATGTCGATCGCAAACTCAAATGTGGATTCTCTTTGTAAACAAAGATAGTTTCAGAGTTTGCTTAAAAACAATCCTTAGATCAGTGTAAAGCTAACAGTTAGCTCTAGCTAGCGCCCTAGCTGATTTAAAATATCACTTTAAAAAAATAATACATACAGCATGCAACTTTGATATGAAAAGATATCACTTACATTTTTTTTTAATGTCTGAAAAGCAATCATAAAACACCATAATCTAGCCATTAGCTGCTGCTGTATTGCTCCTGATTCTACCAGAAGTGTTGTAAACTTTTGGATTTGACATTTTTTCAAGTGACATCCTGCCCTCTCTTTGATTTTTATTTTTTTTTTTTTGCGATGCTGCAGTTTCCTGGAGATTGAGTTGCAGCCAGGTGTCTGAACAGGCCTACAGCTCACAGTCTACCTTTGGTGAACATGGAAATTGTTCAGCTGTGGGGGAAATAAAAACAAAAAACTTGCCAGCAATCACTTTTGAAATGCAGGCAGATGAACTCTAACATCGCAGTGCCAAAGGCATGTGAAAGTTTTGCGGTGAAAATTCCTTTTAAATGACCAGAATCAGCTAAAATATGAGATCTACTTGAAGAGCCTTCCACAACTCTTTCATCTAAACTCTAATATAAAATACTTTGACTACAGGAAAGGGAACTAATACGGATGACTTCACACAACCTCACTTCTAAAAATCCTCTGTCAAATTTAGCACATTTATGTTACAGCTTACATTACCATGGTTTCTCCAAACCACACTGACTCATTTAAGATGGAGGATAAGTCATACTATTTTTATTAAATTTTTCACATTATGAATTTGTCACTTGAATTTGTCACATTTGTCGTTCTAGCGGGGTCAGACGAGGACGGGAGTCAGACGTTTCTAGCTCAGGAGAAATCCGTGTGCCAATTCCTAAACAGTCAGTCGGTGACTGACCTGGTTAGAGTTGATGGAGGCGCAGCAAGAGGAGTTTTATCCTTTCACGGAGGACAAATCTGCTGGCAAGATCAGGTGTCGTGTTAAATCAGGGAAGATCTGTCGGAGTAGCCTGAATTCATCGCTACGCTAAACCCTTATAAATGTAAATATGCACCATGGAAACGGCTGATTGATGTCCAGCCTAGAACTCAAGGTTTTTACACATTTACTGACCTAATTTATTTAGGACTTTTATGTTTTTTTTTTTTTTTTCCATAATGCAACAATCCTGCCAGGTTATCGGTTGAATAGAGTGGGCCTCTCCTCGCTCTCCCCTCTGGTTCTGAGCTGGTCATCGGGCAAATGTCCGACCAGAACATCGAAATGTTCAAATTATGTGATGGGCCACTCCGCTCTGTCGGGAAGTGAATGATGTAGCTTCATGTAATACGCAACAAGAAAGATTCGCTATGTTGAATCCAGCTGGGGAAAATGTTTTCCGCAGTCATGTATTCCTCAACAAATCCTCTCTCCAATACTTTTTAACTTTCAAAGCTAAGAAAGATGATGAAAAGATTGTATGCTCTCTCTCTCTCTCTCTCTCTCTCTGTATATATATATAAACCTTAAATGCTTCCTATTTCAAAAGCATTTATTGATGTTCTAGTATCCTCCTTTAACAGCCCATTAGCGGTTAAGAAGTGTTGCTCTTTGGTTAAAAGAAATGTCTTGATTACCACTACAAATGGTCAGTTATTCGAGTCTCTACCTTGCAAATCCAGTATGTATTCGATGCCAGATGATTCATTTGGAGTCTCAAAACAAAATGATTTTGTTTTCAATGAACCAGACAAAATGGTGAGATGAAGTTTCAGAAGTTTATCCAGCATTGTGTAGAATGCTAAAGACTTTTTTCCACCTTTGCTTGAAGAATGTTAAAGAACAATCTCACAGCTCAAGTGGTTTTGATGCACTATTGAAATCATCTGGTCTCTGCTCTTCTAAATTGATCCAAAGTCAACCTAAAGAGTAATAAAACACACAGAATCCACACTCTGTATTCAACAAAACCAACATGAAAAAGTCGCATGAAGTGGGTGTGATTTGCGCAACATTGCTTGGATCATGTTAATCTGTCAATTTCCTCTTTTTTTTGGAAAGGTTAAACTATATAGCTTATCCTTAAGGACAGCAGACCACATCTGAAGCTGCACCACCTCTGACCCCATTCCCCTCTGCCGGTCCTCTCTATAAATGATTAATCCAGTTAAAAGCTCATCATTCCGCTTTTCCACTTCATTTTGATGCCTCATAATGTGAATAGCCTCTTGTATTTTTTATTTTTTTTTGGATGTTCTTTACATTTTATCACGATGTTAAAAGTTTTTCTGTATTTTTATTTTAGAAACTTACTTTAGGAATTCAACTTTCAGAATTTAATATCTGAAATCAAAATGATTTATCAAGGGGTGTAATAAAAATTTTGATTGACTTGGCAATCTAAACTGAATCAAGAAAAAAAACTTTAAGCCGTTTAAATATAGATGACCAAAAAAATCAATTTTATTTCAAGGAACATGCAATCGTGACTTCAATTAACTGTTGGATTACAATTGGGGGGAAAAATTGGGCTCATCTTCATGTATAAAAGCAGTTTATTTAAGATGGGTTTTTTTCCACAACATGTAACTAATTTGAAATGGTGGTGTCGGTCATTGACCAAAGCTAGGATTAGATTTATGTTTTCAGGTTTAGATCGGGTCCTTATGAGGTTAATTTTTTACTTTCCCTGAAATGGAGCTCATCTAAAATGTTTTTGTCCCGCTAGTGGCCTTTTATTTATTAGTTTTCTGACAGGAAGAAGGGCAGATGCACAGTAAATGCCCTGGGGTCTAGAATCGAATCCTGAACCTGAACAGCTGCGTGGAGGACTATGGACTCCGTATATGGTGCTACTGCTTTTTATTGTGAGCTAGTTTGGTTGGATTTACCCAGAATGCCTTGTGCTGTAATCTGCTTCCTGCTTTTGAGGCGATCCTGTTCGCTTGCATCCACATACACATTCGAATCACACCAGAGTTCAAAATTCAGATTCAGAAATACCGTATTGATCCAAAGGGAAATTGAATGTTGTAATATGTATCAGTTCAGATTCTTCAGAGTTGATATAGATGGCAGTGGCTGTTGGCAGAAAAGATCTCTCGTAGCAGTCTGTATTACGGTGAATCTGAAGAAGCCTCTGACTGAAGACGCTTTGTTTTCCCAATATAGTCTTATGAAGAAGATGGTCAGGGTTGTCCATAATTATTTTTTATTTTTTATGAAGAATCTCTCTTTGCATCATCATCTCCAGAGGTTTCACAGTCGATCACAATTCACTTCAGCCAAACTGAGACCAGAGTTTGCATTTTTGATCCGCATCAGAGATGGATGGATTGCAGTCTTCCAAAAAATGCATAACTCTCAAGTAATATGTTCAAATTTCCTGTCAACTTGAAACATGTTTTAACTCGAAAACTTGCCGGCCAGCTGGATGACTGCCCTCGCGCTCTCGGGCACCGGCCTTAGTAAGTTTTCTGGGGTAAATCCTGGGTTTACATTCACTGTATGCAGTGAAGCAAAGTCACTCATTGGTGGTTGGCTTTCTGTTGAACCAACTTTGGTTGTGTGGATTTTGTTTTCCATTGTTTTGAACATTATTGTGGATCTAGTAAGACTTGTGTAAATATGTCAGTGGACAGATGGACCCAGACAGTGAGTGGGAAGTAATTATGTGTGTGTGTATGTGTTTGTGTGTGTGGGTGTGTGCGTGTGTGTGTGTGTGTGCCAAATTGATCACTTTCTTTTCTCCAAGTGTTATAACATGAGGATGATGTGGCTTGAATGGCTTCTGGGCAGACTTTGAGTAAAAAGCTCCACATCAGTCCTAATGATGGTGAATGTGGACGGTTTATCTTCAGCTCCCTGCTGGGGCTACTTTGTATCCGTGTTTCCCAAAAGTTTTATTATTTACCTCTTTCCAAGACATAATTGAGTAATTTTTTTAATACTATCATTTACACCCCTTTTCTAGTCTTTTACCATAGTGAATATTTTTTCCAATATTTCTTGTTTTTCAGTATTTGTTTGTGACAAATGGCAGCGTTGTGACCAAAGTAGTAGCAGCTCGCATGGTGTTAGTTTCCTCCACTTTGTTTTTCTGACCGTGTGCCTTTGGGAATCCTGATTTACGGCTCCTATTTCTGGGCGTGTTGGCTTCTTTTTTGTTAATGCTGCTCATTAACAAAATGAGCAGCATTTGTTAAATGCTGTGATATTTTTTTCAAAACATAATTTTCAGCTCTAAGCAGTTCAAGATGTCAAACATCTACAAAGTGTTAATTCAAATTCAGCATTACAGTTTTAATTGAAGCTATACTTTGGTTTTGTAGCATATTTTTGGGCTCTGAGGGACATTTTATAGTTTGAGATAACTTTAACTGTGTTCAAGTAAACCACAGAAAATGTCACCACGTTGTAGTGTGTTATTAAATATATTTCTTTGTGCTTAATATGTATTTAATAATTTCATTGTTTTCTTCGTCCTTTGGCTGAATAAATCAATCTGTGCCCATTAAGCCTTTTTTGGTGCCATTTACTTCCTTTCAATATAAATTTGAAATACACTACCATTGAGATTTATTTATTTATTTTTTAGTTCCTCAATTTTAAAATTCCTTCAAAAGTTCAAGTTTGTGTTTACTCTCAATTAGGAGAAGGCAAATTTAAATGTTATCCATCTGATGGGTGAAGAAAATTAACTTTTTATTACTTATGCACAAATGATTGGAATCAGCATTGCTGCCAGTATTTTACGCTACTGGACTTGGATATTAACCCTAAAACGAATACCCTTTGCACATGTTGTAAAGGGGATATTTTTAATTTTTTTTTTTCCTCCAAAGGTTCTTTTTAAAAGCTGAAAGTCGCGATTGCAAGGTTGGAAAAAAATAGAATATTTGTGAAGATTACGCATGGTTGGAAGGAAGCTACTAATGGCTTTCATTAGAGAAGTTGCATCAAAACTATTGCTATACCAGTCATTTAAAAGAACATTTACTCGTGTCCAGTAGGAACACAAAATGAAGGTTTAGCGTTACAAAGTCGCCATGGTTGACCACATTTTATTCGAGGGGAATGTCAACTGTTGCCAGATAAAACTTAACATCACAGGTTGTTCTCAAATAAAACTGAATGGAAAAGGCCAACAGTCCCGCTCTCAGCTGCGGTCACAGTTGCTCATGTGGCCCTTGGAGTTAAATAATTTCCAATCCATTGGTCTGTGACATAAAATCCTGCTGGAAATTTAAGTTTGTGGTTGTAATGTGACAAGAAGTGGGACGGATCAAGGCAATGTGTTCTTCCATATTCCATTACAGATCAAACCCATTTCATATGCTTTTTTTTCTCACTTTAATCTGCTAATGAATATCATAAGTGTCACTGTAGTGTAGACAGAAAAATAACGCATCTCATGTTGGCACCAAAATAGACTCCTATTGTAAACCACTGACTATTTCCGCAAGCTGTTTTATATGAAATTACTGGTAATAAAATCTTTGTGATGCTCTTTTCCAGCCTTCTGAATGGGACAAAGAACAGCAAACAGTTGAAAGAACCATCGCAGAAAGTAGTGATAGTTGTGTTGTCTTGTGTTTGCTGCGGCGTGAGATGACTAAAAGGAAAGGGAAAAAACAAAAAAATTAACCCAAACTGGCACAATGTTTTTCTCCTGAAACCGCTGTACAGCTTTGGAAGTGAGAGGGAGTCTTTACCAGTTATTTTATTTATTTTTGTTGAAACATTTGAAGTGAAACGACCATTAGAAACCCCTCGCAGTGATTAAAATGTTTAGCTTGACGATGAAACGTATTTATGACCCGTTGACTCCAGCTGACGTGGAAATAAGCGCACCATATTTGCATTGCTATGTTTAAATTAGGTGTTGTGCATCAACCTCCCCCCCTCTTTTTTTTTCTCCTAATCAATATGAATGTTGTAATTCTCCTAGGACTCAAAGAACATTTATGCACAGCACTGTACTCGGTACATAATTTCAACATGGCTTTTTCTCCCTTCAATATTAAAATGTAAATGTGTTGCATTTGATCATAAACTAGGAGCGCAGCCTTCAGTAAGCTGATTTAATGACTGTATACATATCTAGTTAAAACAGGTAACACCTGTACACATTTAGAGCAGCTAAAGTGGCGTGAATCGCTGCGGTCATTAAGCCGTTCCAAAAATAACATCCCTAAGTGGAAACAAGCAAGGCCCAAATTATCATCAGAAAATGCCACATGTAGCTTTATTTGGCCACACAACACTGGGCGTAATGTTTGGGGAGTTAAAACTCGGACCGTGTAGGGTTTTTTTTTTTATAATTGTGAGGTGAATTTCCTAATGTCTGAGCATGTTGGGCCGGCAGTATTCTTTTATTTTTCTTCCTGCCTGCTTTATTCAGCCCAAATGTTTCAATTCTCATTGAACTGAATTCAGCGCCAGACAATGCCAACACCCACAAGACCCACAGACATGTTTCTGAAGACTACCAGTTTTGGCTATGTCACTTCTCATTTGGCTACAAATAGTCTGACTTGTCCAAAACTTCTGAGTTCTGTGGTGGGGAAAGCACTGATGGGGCCTACATCTGTCGATTAAATTGTGCACGTAATGCCAGCATGTGAGGGAATAGTGAATTATTGTCAAACGGATTCTGTGGAGAGAACGCTTGCGAAGAGTATTTAAAATGTTTCGGCTAATCTGTGAGTGGAGACAAAGGTGGATGTTTGATATAAGCTAAATGCCCTGATCTTCTGTTAGAGAAAGTGACCCTTAATCTAATCTATATGTATAAATGCTTTTAATCCAGTCTCGAGTGTACAAAAACATAAAAAATTCCACCATGTCATGTCGTTATACAGATTAAGTCAAAGTAGAGGATCTGGAAATTAGTCTAATTATGTTTTGAAGTAATTTGAGTGTCTCTTTTCTTAGGGAATAGATTCTAATGCCCGTTCAAAGGGACAAACCTCATGGAGTGCAGTGCAAAGCAGGGTCTTCAAACCGGGCCTCGAGAGCCGATGTCCTGCAATTTAGTTGTTTTAATATCTTTGCTTCAGCACACGTTCATACAAAGAGCTCACTAGCAGAACTCTGAATAACTTGACTGCATACCGGTGCTGCGTTCCAGTTGCACTTGGAACTGGGAAATTCTGACTTCCTGGTCGGGGAAATGAACCAACTGGAACGCCCTCCCCGAGTTGGATTTCCCACTGGGAAACTGGGAGCAACTCCAACTGCCTCCAGTTACGACCTCGAGTTTCAACATGGCCGCTCCTCACATCGGTAGTAGCAACGTGTGGTGAAAACATGTTTGTTTTATAAGACGCATATAAGAATGAGACTAAAATTAGTGTTGCATGTAGCACCCGCGGCTCTAAGCAAATTACAAGCGGCGTCCACTACGGGAAGTGAAGCTTAAAATGATGTTTGTAAGATGTACTGCATGCTATGTTCATGAACGCCGCCATGTTGAAAACTCGACTTCTTAACTGGAATGCTGTTACCTCTGGTCTGACATCAAACCCAGCTCTGAGTTGAGATACTGACTACTGACCACTTGTAAACAAAATGTGCAAAAGGAAGAGCTTTGAAAGGTGACATTCACTTTAAAACTATGCTGAACATGTTTTTCTCAGAATCTGCACAAACTGAAAATGGTTCACCTTTTTCCCCACTTAGTTAATTCAAGTCTCACATTCAGGGAATTACAATGCAAAGGTGTTCAAATTAGCAGGAGGATACAACTAAGAAAATCTAATTCAAGGCTTTATGTTAATTGCTTTTTTAAAAACAAAGTATTATAATTGTACAAAGTATTTTTTTTAGTTCCAATTTAGTGTTTTTTTGTTGTTGTTTTGTTTTGTTTTTTTTTCTTTATGGAATAGAGAGAGAATGTTTATTATACCTCTAAGGGAAAGTTCAGTTGTGACAGCAGAATCACATAAATATTTGTTGTTTTTTTTAAATGAACTGAATTTCAGCTGCTTCAGTTTTAGGAAGGATTTGGGTCTAAATCTCACACACCCAAACCCACAGCCATTTTTTTCTACTATTTGACTAACTACCTCTTTTTTTTTTCTTTTTTTTTTTTTTTTTTTTCCCCTTTCTCTGTCTCTCTCTCTCAAGGTTCAACATTCCCATTAACCTTCAGCTCCTGGTCCCGGTCTCACCGTCAACATGGGCTTCAGGTGTCACTCCTCTGCCCTGTCTCCTGTGCTGAGACTAGCGGTCGTTACTGTGATCCTCCTCCTTAAACCCCGGAGCGCGCTGGCTGGTACCGCTCCCGAGCACAGCCTGGGCAGCTCAGTTTCGGCAGTGTCCACAAACAAAACTGAATGCAGCAAGCCTGAACAGTGCACAAACGGGGTCCTGCTGCCCATCTGGGAGCCCCGAAACCCGTCATTTGGAGATAAGGTCGCCAGGGCGACGGTTTACTTTGTGGCTCTGGTCTACATGTTCCTCGGCGTGTCAATCATCGCGGACCGCTTCATGGCATCGATAGAGGTCATTACTTCACAGGAAAAAGAGATCACCATCAAGAAGCCCAATGGAGAAACCACCACCACGACGGTACGGATCTGGAACGAGACGGTCTCCAACCTCACCCTCATGGCGCTGGGGTCGTCTGCTCCAGAGATCTTGCTCTCCGTCATAGAAATAATAGGTCATGGCTTTGAGGCCGGCACGCTGGGCCCCTCCACTATTGTGGGTTCGGCGGCGTTCAACATGTTCGTCATCATCGGGCTGTGCGTGTACGTTGTGCCCGACGGCGAGACGAGGAAGGTCAAGCACCTCCGAGTCTTCTTCGTCACGGCAACCTGGAGTATCTTTGCCTACATTTGGCTCTACCTGATCCTGTCGGTGATCTCCCCCGGCGTCGTGCAGGTCTGGGAAGGCCTGCTCACTTTCCTCTTCTTCCCCATCTGCGTCGTGTTTGCCTGGGTGGCAGACCGCCGCCTGCTGTTCTACAAATACGTGTACAAGCGCTACCGCACCGGCAAGCAGCGTGGCATGATCATCGAGACCGAGGGGGACCGTCCGCTTCCTTCCAAGGTAAGCCTACGGGATATGACACAGCTGTCACTGCTACAGTCAGTACTAATAGGAATTTTGCAAAGATCTAAACCACAATAAAGAAATCTGAGATAAGTTTGACTTTATTATACTTGGTTATGTCTTGTATTTTGGATGGCTTCTCCTGCTGAAAGGCATTAATGATATAGCTACTTTCAGCTGAATTCGACTCAAAGTGCTTGTATGTAGGAGTTAACAACAACATACATTCAGGTAAAACGAATCAAGAAATTTTTTGATTAAACAGATTTTAAAACAAAATGAAATAAAAACTAGGTTAAGCGTAAGAAACGGTAAATAAAACAGTTTTTAGCCTTGTTTCGAAAGTACACAAGAAGAATCATTCCTGGGCTTCTTCCAAATTTTTGGTGCATGAAAACTGAAGACTGCTTCACTTCAGCCGGTGTAGTAAGTTTGGTTCAGATGATCTTAGAACTCATGTTTTATAATCTTGCTGAGGCATCAGTCTCAATCTGGCAACATATGTTAGGCGGTAATATGCTGTCTTTATGAGTTTGATGTATTTGTTGAGATTAAAATCAGGATCAATGACCACATGTAGATTCCTGGCTTTGTTGGATCCTTTTAAACCAACAGACTGAAAGTGGGCCCTGATTTTTAACCCAGGCTTGTGTATTTGTCAGAACAGCCAACCAGTAAAAAGAGAACAGAATTGTCATCCTTTGTTTGTCCGCATATTGCAAAATTCCTTTCATCAGCAGCAAAGTATCAGGTAAATGGAAATGACATGCATGCACTTAAAAAGCGGTAATTAAAAATAACATGGAGATGGTACAGTAGTATCGCATTCACACAATGAATTAGATGCACTTAGTTTGCTGCATGAGTTCATGGGTATTTTGTATTTATAGCTACTAGCAGCATAAGTGTATTAAATGCCATCAAGGTAAACTGATGCAATTAAACTTATCACTGCAAACACAAATAACCTCTGTAATTTAATCCATTTCCTGTTTTTGACTCTGATCAGATGCTTTGTTTTGATGACGCAGTGCATTTATGTAATTACATTTCCGTTGCTGTGGTGAAAACCGCCCTCTTATTTTTTTTACTCGCTGCATTAGTGTTTTGTTTTTTTTTCCAATTTTGGAAACTGCAGAATTTCTTTGCTGGATTAAAACGTCTCCATTCCTACAATAAAGGAATTTTTATTTCAATTTCTAGTTGAGGGGGGGATACAAACCTCGAATGAAAGCCAACAATATTCCTGAAGGAAGAGTTTCATAACTGCAGATTAGGCACTTGGTTAATAAAACATTCTCCTAGATAATAAAAAAAATGTAAATTAACATTTTCAACTTTCACTTGAACGGCAGACACCTGCAAAAGGAAGACTGATCACAATAGAGAACCAGATCTTTCATTGGAGTAGGACCCAGATGTGGTTTCAGTCTGAACTGTTTTACTTAAAATGGCTAAAACATGTCTTAACAATTTAATAGTTGGATGTTAAGTACTACGTGTTAACAATAACACCTAGTATTATTTATTATGCTAATAAATAATACTAGTATTATGTAGTAATAAATAATACTAGTATTATTTAGTATTATGCAGTAAACTATGACAATTGAATAAACCATTACCAGTTTATGCAATGGGAATAATTTGAAATGTATTTGTTTTTTAGCTATTTTTAAAAAAAAACACGTTGTTCAAGCATACTGATTTCTGTCCGATGCCGAGTCACTGATGTTCACATGCCACTTAAAAGTTCACTCAATTTTGTTTTATGACACATTTTCTTTTTCTTGTCCATTTCTGTAAAATGTTGATCTCCACTTCAGCACAAGGTTAAGATGGTTTCAATAAAGCTGCTATGTTGTTTTTGCTTTTTTATCAAAACTTCAACAAACACTAAATTAGGTTGAGTTTAATCATTTACAGGAATATCTCACACTGCATATATGGCTGCACTCATCTTGTCTTTACTGAGGATCTTTGTCAGCTGAAGGCGGAGGCTAATGCTAACGTTCTTCTATGCAGTGATTTGGCAATTGCTCTAGTTTTGGGGATTAAAGTACATTGAATACTGTTACAAATGTAACTTTTTAATACAGCTCAGCTTTGCAGTTTGCGTTACACCGATAGACCAGATGCTGCAGCGAGCGATGCAGTCGCTCGTTTGCTTCTATTTTATTAGGACATTCACAATGAAAGGTTAGAACATTTAGCTTTGGTAAATGTGTGGTTCTCACTTGTGTGTTCTTTTTTTCCCCTAATATTTTTGTACTATTACGACCATACCAAGGTGTCAAAGTGCAACCATGCTGATGGTTTTATACAGAAGAAGTTGGAATTATTGTTAGACAATAAGAAGCGTGGTAATCTACCAAGACTTTTTTTTTTCATTAGTTTATCCTTCAAAGGACAAGTATTAACTACTTTTCTCCTGGGCTTTGTTTTTTTTTTCTTTTGGAGGGATTGTCTTAAATTACCAAGAAAAAGAAATCAGTCCAATTTATTGCAGGCAAATAAATGATAAAAATGTATAGAAACAACAGAGACATAGTTTTCAGTTTCAGCACTGGACACCAACACTATGTGTCCTCAGTGGACGAACAAAGAGTGGCCCCGAACAACATGATTCACTTCCTCTTTTACGGCTCTAACTAAGCTACACCCTAAAGAGGGCGTTCCCCTGTGAAGTCATTTCATTGACTTAATGTGTGTGTGTGTGTGTGTGTGTGTGTGTGCGTGTGTGTGCGCGCGTGCGTGCGTGCGTGCGTGCGTGCGTGCATGCAAACAGAACCCAAATATAGATAATATACGGGTTTTATAATATTTTGAGAAGTTTAGTTTTTTATTTTAATTTTTTTTGTCTTGGGTTGCTGATACTCATTGTAGCTCCTTTTTTTTCTGAATAACTTTTTTTTCTTTTTTTTAGGTGGACATTGAGATGGATGGAAAGATGCTGAATTCTCATGGTGTTGACTTCCTGGACGGTCCACTGGGTTTGGACATCGATGAGAAGGATCTGGATGAGGAGGAGACCCGCAGAGACATGGCGAAGATCCTGAAGGAGCTCAAACAGAAACACCCCGACAAGGAGGTCGGTATCGCGGCTGAAGAGGTTTATTTCCTCTGTAGGAAATAAAATGACAAATCTGCAACAGATGAGATGCAATCCAGGTTCATCGTAGTAATAAATGGTTATAGCTGTGTATTTTTTTATTTTTTTTTTAGGCTAAGCTGACAGATTAAAGCATGTTCCAAAGGAAATAAAGGAGCTGTGGCGACATGCTGGTTAAAAAGAAATAAAATAAAAGAACCCTGCTGGGATAACAAACCAACTCTGCTTTGGTCTTAATGCCACACAATTTTCATTCACAAAACATTTCGGCTGGTGAACGGAGTCGCAGATATCCGAGGACTATTGGTCTTGTTTCTTGTTGCTGCAGTACGTTGTGTAGCTCATCAGATACACAACGCTAAAATGAGACAGCTTCAGATACTGTGCATGTCAATCAAAAAAACTAAGGTGAAAACAAATGTAAACTAAATGCAACTGACTGAATAAACCTCAAAAAGTGTGAGAGCTGTCCCATTTTAGCTATTTTTTTTGGGAAGATTTGCTTAAAGGTTCAAAGCAAAAGAAACCCTACATACTCTTATATTAAATACTGTTTTTCATTAATGAAGTTTATAAATAAAATGAACATATTTAGACCAGCTGATGTGCTACATCCCAAGCCTGTACAATGACTAGTAACAACACTTTAAAAAAATACATTAAAATCAATATATTAAAATCCAAATCTTTTTAACTGCTTTGGTGAAAATAATTGAATTGTTTTCCTCTTACCAGGTGGAACAACTCATTGAACTTGCCAACTACCAGGTGCTGAGCCAGCAGCAGAAAAGTCGAGCTTTCTACCGGTGCCAGGCCACCCGACTCATGACGGGTGCCGGCAATATTCTAAAGAAACACGCTGCGGACCAGGCCCGAAAGGCCGTCAGCATGCACGAGGTCCGCTCCGACGCCGGCGACAACGACCCCGTCTCCAAGATCTTCTTCGAGCCGGGCTCCTACCAGTGTCTCGAGAACTGCGGCACGGTGGCTGTGAACGTGGTGCGGCGAGGCGGTGACCTGGGCAAGACCGTTTCTGTGGAGTACCGGACGGAAGACGGCACAGCCAACGCCGGCTCCGACTACGAGTTCACGGAGGGCGTCGTCGTGTTCAAGCCGGGCGAGACCATGAAGGAAATCCGCGTGGGCATCATCGACGACGACATCTTCGAGGAGGACGAAAACTTCCTCATCCACCTCTCCAACGTCAAGGTGCTGACCTCCGAAGGTGAGGAGCCGGAGGAGAACGAGTCGGCCAATCACGTGGACTCTGTGGCCTGCGTCGGCATACCGTCGACGGCCACCGTCACGATATTCGACGACGACCACGCCGGTATCTTTACGTTCGAGGAGCCCGTTTGCCACGTCAGTGAGAGCGTTGGCACGATGGAGGTGAAGGTGCTGAGAACGTCTGGCGCTCGCGGTGTGGTCATGCTGCCCTACAAGACTGTGGAAGGGACTGCAAGGGGCAACGGGGAGGACTTTGAAGATGCACACGGCGTCCTCGAATTTCAAAACGACGAAATCTTGTAAGTAGCCTCTGAGCATTATTTGATTTCAAATCATGATGACTGCATAGTAAGATCTGACGTTTACAACCACAGTTTATGATTGAGAAGATTAGTTTATCCAGTCGTGTTGGTAACGATGTGGGAAGCAGAGATGTTGGTTTGATGTGGTGGCCACGCGAAGCGGCGTGGCGGACGGCTCTGCATCAGTACTCCAGGAGATTCAACAACCTGTTGGCTTCCACCCCTTCCCTCTTTCAGTTCCCTTTTTTTTCCTAATTTCTTCTCATTTCTTCTCATTAAACGTCTCAAGCCTGTGATTTGCTTCATCGTGCCGCTGTTCTTCCTGAGAGAACGCATTGATTTCTCCACCCTGTTCTTGCACAGTCAGCGCAATGGCTTCAGCCGCTTTGGGAGAATGGAGTTACTGGTTCGGTGGCAGCTGGTTTGAATTTTAATTAGATGGAATCTCCTTGTGTTGGAAACTGGACGACGATCATCGACGACGCTTTGAGTGAGATGCGCAGAGGCAAACCGGGAGGAGTAGCTGGTTTTGCTGGAAAGGGTTCAAAAATTCCAACAGCAGGATGTCGGTAAATGCCAAGAAGGAACATGTGTTTTGTTGACTTGATTCTGAAGCACAAAAGCCTTTTTAAGCCATAAATCAAGTTGCTCTTTTAGGTGGCCTTATACCTTGTGAAAACCTCCCCGGGCAACTGATTGTTGCAAGATAGTGGCTTTTTTCTTCTTGTTGTTTAGTCAGTGAAAAGGGGCTTAGACCTTTAATTTAAGAATCCCCACAGTGAAAGGATGAATCTCCTGTTCAAAGCTTTACTTAACAGGGTGCTTGTTGGATGGTGAGTCATGGTAAGCATTGTGATTGCTGTTGGACCACATTACAGGAAGCCTTTTGGCTCCGCGGGTAAATGTGGCATCTGTAATCTTCGTTGTGAACCACTCGGTGTGCGAAACCTGATCCAAATATCATCTAGGACATGGATCACGGCCACAAGGGTTTTCTTTTTTTTAACAATGTTTTTACTGGCTCACTGAATTTGGATATTAGGCTTCATTAGATTGTATTTAGATCTCTAGTTTTTTTATTTATTTATTTTTATTTTGTGGTTGACATTTTCTCATGTACTTCCTCTATCATATTTACAAGGAAAAAAAAAAAGCTGATCCCTCAAATTCCCATGATGCTCTGGTCTTTGTTTGAAATTATTTTCCATAAGACTTGATATCCTGATTTCTCGTGTCGTTTTACTTTTATCAAACACGACGTCGGTGCTTTCACCTGGTCTTTTTGTCATGGCCTTTAGATTTAAGCAGGATACAATAAACTCTCAAATTTCAGGAGTTTATCCACGTATAGCTAATTAATGAGAGATTTTTGACAATATTAATGCAGGACTATAATTTGCTTATAAAAAGAGGCTTCACAAAGATCTCTCATTGGTTATTTGACAGACCTCATTAGAGCTGACCTACTGCAAGTTCCTCTCCAATAACTCTGGAATGAGATCTTGAATTACATCTGCTGATGATGTATTAAATGACTGCTACAGGTTTACTGGACTCCTCGGATGGTTGGAATGATTCATTTTAGATTCTAATAAATCAATCTAATCTAATTTTAGGTTCGTGGTTCGTTGGAGTCAAAACGTGCCGAGATGTCTCGTTCTTCTGTTTGTATGCTGTAGTTGCTGGTATTGCCCTGGTGGAGTTGGAGTTGCTTTGACGAGCTAACATGTCTGTTGCTGTTTTCGCCTTTGGAAGTGAAAGTTGCACAGTATTGTTCCGACTGTGAAAGACGGAAACGATGCCTAGAGTAGAAAATTCCAACTGGGAGAGTTGAAGGGTGTTGAGTAGCTCCAATTTCAGTTCCCAATATTCCTTTTGTGGCACAGACAACAAAGTGGAAGCTGCAGGTCTAAATCTTATTTTTTCTTCTTCTTTCTGACGGACTGTATCATAATAAACCTGTTGTGTGTACAGTTTTAGTGTCAAAATTGGCTCATTTAGTATAATGGAGATATTTCATAGATTTCTATTGCTAATAACTAGCAAATCCCACTAGTTTACTGACTCATGATGAGAACAAAGCTTCCTGGTCAAATCAAATGCAGCATTAAAGCTCAGTTAGTCCTTTGTTTAAGCATTTAGGATTAACATGACCTACAGTAAATCATCAGTAAAGATTTCTTGGAAACCAAAAGCAAACTTACAGTCCTCTTCAGATATTGGCTTTGCCTGTTTTACCCTCCAGATTTGTTTGTTTGCAACCAACGCTGACTCCAGCAGGATTTTTTAATCATATCTTCGAATGCAAAATGGAGCAGAAAGTAGAAAGTTGCTGATATGAAAATAATTACATTCGCTAATGATTCTTCATATTCATATGCGACTGTTTTGTCAGATATTGCGGTAAGCAGCCGGAGGGTGATTTCTAAATGCGTCCAGCAGTCGTCCGTCCTGGTCTTCATGCTGATCCATGATGAGACATGACATTTGGTTAGTGAGAGCAGTGGCTCGTCTAGCTGCAATTAACAAACAAAAGAAAATAAAAAAGCTGAGTTGCTTATTATTGATAATTGGCGCAAAAGGCAACTTGGGGAAATGACAGACATTTTAGTGAATAAATAAGGAAATTGCCCAACATATTTCTAAAATGTTTCAGGTTCTGCTAAAAGGTTTTTAAGAAGCAGAGTGCCGTACAATCATCTTTGGGTTTCCTAGAAATGTTTAACTTTTTTTTTTGTATAGAAATAATTGAAGACATAGAACATGCATAAAAATAACTTCAAGATGGTTTACTTTTAATGGCTACTTTGTGCTAATATTACGATGGGCCAATAAACATTTTGTTAGTGATGAGGAATTGATAAAAATATGTTTAATACCTGCTTAAAGGCCAAGTTTAATTAACTCTAATTAAATACTACTATCCTGCATTGCAGCAAAAAAGGTAACATTGAGGCAAAAAGGATTTTGTCATGCAAAAAATTAATAAGTAGAATAAGACACAGAACATTTGATGCAATTAGGAAACCTTATTACCGTTGACTCTTTGGCTCTAAAGGGCTTTATTATTAATCTTTTAGCATTGCTCTAGTAATTGAACAACATCAATTTAGGTTTAAAAAAAGTGAAAAATGATGCTTAACAATTTATTGGATTCAAAGTGGGGAAAAAACGTCTGGTAAATTTTCTGGCTTTTTGCTGGGTGTTATCGAATTCTCAACATAACATGAACTTACATGAGTCAAAGTAAAAAAAACAAACAAAAACAAATTACCCGTTTGCTTTATGGATTTACAACAAAAAAAAAGACGGCTGATCTAGAAAAGATTGCCTGCAGACTGACTCGTAACGCGGATATTTTTCCTTCAATAAAGGAAAGATTAATAAAAGGAGGCAGTTGTGAAAGATGACTTCGACTGGATGTGGAGATTGGACACTAAGAAGATAGAGCAAAGTTTTGCCCTCCCAAAAGTTGTAATTTTCTTTATTGGCTTTCCCCCCGCCCCATGCTTTGTGTTTCTGTCTTCCATTGTGGCTGTAAGACACTCGGTTCAATTTGTTCCTTGAAACAGCAGGCGAGCGTTGACTTGCATGCATCGAAAACAACTGAGGAGCAGGATTGCCTCTGTGGTGAAAAGGGTGAGCAATGACAGCAGCACAAGGAAGACAAAACTTCGTCAGATCAGAGAAATTCACATAAAATACCATTCCTTGTTTGCATTGCTAATTCTGTCAGGCTAACACAAAGCATTTGACATTCAGTAGTCACCTTTTTCATTTTGACCCCCCCCCCCCCCCAAAGTATGAAATATCTTCAAGTAGCTCAAGTTATATATAATTTCCATAGTCAGGGAGCCTGTGGAGAAGCATGGTACAGTTGAAAATCAAATTATGCTCCCTCCTACACACACACACACGCACGCACGCACGCACGCACGCACGCACGCACGCACACACAGCGAGCACACTGCGACTTCACACTCCAGTAACCGGCATAAATTAGCCATGCGACACACACACACCCTCTTAAGGAGAGAAAAACAACGTGTGTGCGATATTAGACTCTTGTTGGATGGGTCGACTTTTATTTTGTCACCTTGTTGAACCTGAGCAGTTGTTCAGTTAAGAAATGACTAAAAAGAGTTTTAGTCCATCAAGCAGACAGAGCAGCAGAATAAACACAGGTTCATTCAGTCACCGTGGAAGTGGATTATTGTTCGATACGCAGAGTACTGCATGTGTTAAGAATTGCGACATATTTCCCAAACGATAATTGTCAAAAGTGTGCAAACCGATGAGAGTATGGTTTGAAATGCTATTTGCCCTAATGGCTGTGGCTTGTTTTTCTTTAGACTCTGTGCTTTTGAGTCATTATTTTTACCGTTAAAATAATAACTAAAAGAAAAAGCAGTGGTTATATTTTTGTCGTATTGCCAAACCCAAAAGCTGGTATTTTCTTGAGCCGAATATTTTATTTTATTTTATTTTTTTCAATGAGGAATCGCCTCAGTTGAACTGGTTTGGGTTTTGACATTAACGTTTTAATGTCCTCCTTTCCTTACTTTTTCTTTTATGCACTACTTTGTGCTGGCCAGTCACGTACAATCCCGGTACATCACACAAACGTTTGGGGTTAAATATGACTAAATGTGGAAAAAGTTATGGGGTCATTCAATGACATGTTCGGCTTTTTTTATAGCTTGACATTTTCTTTTAGCTATGTAATTTTTTGTATGTGTGTGTTTCTATTGCACTCTGTTAACCAGGACTCCCATGAAGAAGAACTTTTATTTATTTATTTTCTCTTTATCGTGGTAAAATAAAGGTTAAGAAAATACGTTTGCAAGGCACCAGCTAATCCCTCTCTACCGTCGGTGGACAGACTGAAATCTGTTCAGTTTTTGCCAGATTGCGCGGCGTCTTTTTGATTCGTTTGTTTGGTACTGCCGAACGAAGCGGGCCTGAATCTGCTCTGAATCGCAGACACAAACCCACAC